TTCTTTGTTCTTTGTTCTTTGTTCTTTGTTCTTTGTTCTTTGTTCTTTGTTCTTTGTTCTTTGTTCTTTGTTCTTTGTTCTTTGTTCTTTGAGTGGGGACTGCAACTTCACGTAGTACAGAGGGCAGAGAGTGACTGCGCAGGTTTGAGCAGTGAAAGCAGATTCAGAAAGAACAAGGTGTGCTTGGATGGGCAGGGAAGTGATGAGGGAGGTTTTGTCAAAATTATGACAGCAGAGATACTTCCGGTGGTTTGTACCTATTTGGTTTAAAGTGTCATTCCACAGGTAAACAAGTAAGTGATTGCTGGGTATTTCTTCCATGTTAATTTGAATTGGCCAAATGGCTTAGAACAAATGACAATACAGAAAAGGAACTGGCTCTTCAGCCCTCCAAACCTGCACCCCTTTATCTGTCCAATTGTTCTTCTCTCTTTTTGGGAATGGTCTCTATCTCCAACTATCGTTTACTCCTTACCCCCTCTCCCCACCTTTAAACCAGGAAACTTTCTTACAGCTGAAGACCTCGGTTAAGGAATTCAGTTTTCAAGTATTAACATCCAAGTTAATTACGTTGAATGGGTTAGAAGTGGCTGGGCAAGTGATGTGTTGCACCTGTAATATATGGGAACTGCTGGACTTTGGTGTGATTGATAGTGACCACCTCTGCAGAAGATTTTGGTAGTTAGAGAAACTTTGACTTGGAGTTCATGAGCTGGAATCTGAGCAGCAGACACTGATACTGGGATCTTTACTAACAAGAGAAAATCTAACAATCGCCCCTTGACATTCAATGGTGTTGCCATCATTGAATCCCTTACTATCAACATCCTGGGGGTTACCATTGACCTGCAACTGAACTGGACCTCCACATAAACGTTGTCTACAAAAGCAGGTCAGAGGCTGGGAATACTGTGGTGAGTAACTCACCTCCTGACTTCCCAAAGTCTGTCCATCATCTACAAGGCATAAGTCAGGAGTGCGATGGAAAATCGCCACTTGCCTCGATGGGTGCAGTTCTAACAACACTCAAAGCTTGATACCGTCTAGGAGAAAGCAGCCCACTTGACTGGCATCACGTCCACGAACATTCATTCCCTCCACCATGGATGCTTATTAGCAGCAGTGTGTATGATCTACAAGGTGCAACTGCAGCAATTCACCAAAGATCCTCAGCATCTTCCAAACACGTGACCACTTCCACCTAGAAGGACAAGAGCAGCAGATACATGGGAATACCACCAACCTCAAGTTCCCCTCCGAACCACTCAGCATCCTGACTTGGAAATATATTGCCATTCCATTTCATCATAATTAACTCACTGTTGCTGGGTCAAAATCCTGGACCTCCCTTGCTGAGGACATTGTGGATCGACCTATAGCACATAGGCAGCAGTGTTCAAGAAGGCAGCTCACTGCCACCTTCTCAAGGACAACTAGGGGTGGCCAATAAATGTTGGCGAGCCAGTGACACCCACATTCCACAAATGAATGAAAAGAAATCTAATGGGAGGCACTAATAAATGAGATCCTTGGGACACAAAGTAGACTGGCCTCCGAAAAATAAGACTGGTACTGTCAAATTTGGACCCCCATAGTTGGGGACCTGGAGGCCTTCTGGACTCCATATTGAGTTCAATTTTTGGCCTTGAGTTCTCCTATGTTCTTACCCCACCCCACCCCGCACCGCACTGTCCCTATTAGTAGCTATTCGCACTCCTGACCAGATTGTTATCAATCTGTTCTCTCTCTTTGGGCTCTGTCCCCACCCATCATTTCCTCCTTACCCCCTCCCCCCACCCTATTTTCTACATATAAACCAAGATTTTCCTCGCTATCTTCAGTTCTGAGGAAGAGTCACAGGCCTCAACATATTTTTATTTCAATGTGTTTCGCAATTTAATGACCAGGTACTCTGTTTTTGTGATGTTCAGTGAGGGATTAATGTTAACTCAGTTCACGAGGGAGAACTGGCCCTACTCTTCTCTTATGTTGTGCCATTGGATCTTTTATATCCACCTGAGCAGGCAGCTGCGGCCTTGGTTTAACGTCTCCTCTTAAAGGTGACAGCCTGGCAGTGCCGTGCTCCCTCACTACTCTCTCTCATGGTTTATTTTTGAGCCTGACCTAGGACCTGAACCAAGAACTCTGGGTCAGAGGCAGGAGTAGTAGCGACTGAGCTACAGTTGCCCCCCATTTTGGAGATGAGACATGGGCCATTGTCATAATACTGTTGTGGTCATAAGTAACATAATTTTCATAAAGTCAGTATTGTTGAACCTTTTATTTTGTTTGTAAAACATTCATTTAAAGTAACTCGGAAATAAGGTTTAGATTATTTTAAAAGTCTCTCCAGTCGTAGGAAATTGTTATTTTTTTTCTTATGAATCACCAACTGTGAGTTTGTATGTTGGTGAAGAAAGGCACTTTTTCTAAATAGTAACACAGCAAACTTTGTTTTAACTGGCACTTTATGAATGGGCACTTAATAAACTAGAAAAGATTATTTACCTGAAATCCTGGAAGTTTACTGTATTATCGTGATCTCCGATGTCCGAGTAGTCAGTAGTCAGTTGAGAGTGCAAGTGAGAAGGCTCTCTGCTGGTAAGTTTTATTTAAGGCAAAGTTGCATTATTATTCAAGTGATTTTATGTTGAAATAAAGTATACCAGTGATGTGTACACCCCCTGCATTACATTTCTATTACATGTTGTGTTTTTACATTGATTATGTGCATTTCTTGATCAACTGGAAAATTTGACCATGGCCTGGTCCTGGCCCCACAGGAGCCAGTTGATTTAAAATGCTTGCTGTACCTGTTTAGAAAGGACAAGTGGGCTAATATGCAAGGATGTGAAATGCCCTGGTATGGAAGAGCAGGCTGCAGTTCAGTTGTTTAAGGGTTAAACATTTCTTCCTGTTGGGACAGCAGTTTGCAAATGGAGAATGGAATCAGATGAGATGACCGTGAAGGTGAATTCACTCCGATCCATGAGCAACGTTCATTGAGCTCCGTGTATACTGACTGTGTATTGTTTTGTTCGATGGGTAAAAACTAAACTGAGACCCCAGTGGATGAGAGACTAGGAGAGGGAAGGTGTTACTTTATGATCACTGTGGAGCGAAGGCAGTGCTTATGATTGTGACCCCCCTTGAACAAACTGGATTCAGGAGTCTGAGCAGCTAAGGGATGTAGACCTGGATCTAACTCTCACATTGCCTCCTCTGCTTTCAGATGCTGAGCAGCAAAAAACCCAGGAGAAGAAGGATGTCCGTCGGATGTCTTTCCAGAAGCCCAAGGGAACTATTGAATACACAGTGAGTAAAAGCAAGATTAGGAGCTGGCTATGGGATAGGTCGTGAGAGTCCTTCACCTTTTTTGAGAATTGTTTATAATCGGGGAGATGCATTAAATTGCATGGGGGGGACGGACCCATTTTGGTCGTAGATCTATGAGCACTTGTTACAGTGCCCCTTCCCTTGACCGCCACCACTACCACGCTCCTCCTCCTCCCTCTCCCTCCCTCCCCCCCCAAAAAAAAAAAGAAGAAACCTCCTGTAGCTTTGCCCTGGAACGTCCCATGCAACTGACCCCAAATTCCCAACCCTTGCCAAAAATGCAGCTTACTTGTTTCTGTAGGATTGACCCTGTGATAATAGTAGTCAGACAGTCAGAGATATACAGCATGGAAACAGATATGGGATATCCTGTATAAATCTAGTCCTTTTTGCCAGCATTTGGCCCATATCCCTCTCAACCCTTTGTTTTCATGTACCCATCCGATGCCTTTTAAATGTTGTAATCGCACCAGCCTCCACCACTTCCTTTGGCAGCTCATTCCATACATGCACCACCCTCTGTGTGAAAATGTTGTCCCTTAGATCCCTTTTATATCTTTCCCCTCTCACTTTAAACCTATGCCCTCTAGTTTTGGACTCCCCACCCTGGGGGGAAAAAACCTTGCTTATTTACCCCATCCATGCCCCTCATAATTTTATAAACCTTTCCAGGAAAAAGATGGCTGGCTTTTTGGAAACCTAACGTGTGAATTTCAGACCGAGATTCTCAGAGGTTCCCTAATGTAGTTTACACTTTGTTTTGTTGAGCATTTAGGGAAATGATTGCATTCATTGGAGACTTAAAACAAAACTTATCTGTAAATCATGGGAAATCGATAAGCTTTTAAAACTGCAGATTTGTTCCTACTTAGTTTGAATCCTATCTTCAGAAAATATTATAAATATGGTACTTGCGTTCACAGCTGCATCTCCATTGATGATGGAAGCTGGATAAGCAGTTGGCCTTTTTAAACAGTGACTTTAGTAGAATTTAACAATTGTATTAAAAGTTGCAGTTTTACTGAGCTGTGGCAGGAGGGCTGAGAGATAATGTGTTACTTGATGGTTTCACACTTGGAACAGAAGTAGACCATTCAACCCCTCAAGTCTGCTGCACTCTTGATAAGATGAGGGTGACAGTCCTTGACATGGACGTTGCATTCAACAGAGTGGGGGGAGCTCTACACGAGTTGGAGTCATACCTGGCATGCAGGAAGATGGTTATGGTTGTTGGAGTTCAGTCATTTCAGCTCCAGGACTTCTCTGCAGATGTTCCTCAGGATAGTGTCGTAGATTCATATAGTACAGAAATGGACTGTTCGGTCCAACCAGTCCATGCCAATCATAATCGCAAACTAAACTAGTCCCAGTTGCCTGTGGTTGGGCTATATCCCTCTAAACATTTCCTATTCATGTATTTATCTGAATGCCTTTTAAACACTGTTACTGTACCCACATCCGCACTTCCTCTGGAAGTTCTTTCCACGCACGGACCAGTCTATGTAACATTGAAAAATTGCCTCTCATATCCTCTTTAAATCTTTCTCCTTTCACTTTTAATATGCCCCTAGACTTGAAATCCCACACAATCGGGAAAGACGCCTGCCATTCACTTTTTCTATACCCTTCATGATCTTATAAACTTCTATAAGGACATGTCTCAACCTCCGACTCCAGTGAACAAAGTCCCGGCCTCCCCTTATGAACCAAATGCTCATTCCCAGTAATATCCTGGTAAATCTTTTCTGAACTCTCTCCAGCTTAATAATATCCTTGCTGTAATAGGTCCTAGGTCTATCCATCTTCAGTTGCTGCATCAATGACCTTTCCTCCATCAGGAGGTCAAAAGTGGGTATGTTCGATAATGATTGCACAATGTCCAGCATTAGTCGCGACTTCTCCGATACTGAAGCACCCCATGTTCAAATGCAGCAAGACTTGGACGTTATCCAGGCTTGAGTTGACAAGTGGCAAGTAACATTTGTGCCACAAATGCTGGGCAATGACCATCTCCAGTAAGAGACAATCTAATCACCACTCTTTAACATTCCATCGTGTTTCCACCACAGAATTCCCGACTATCACATCCTTGGATTTGTCACATAAACACAGTGGCTACAAGAACAGAGCTGGGAATACTGGGGCGTGTAGCTCACCTCCTGACTTCCCAATTCTGTCCATCATCTACAACATAGAACAGACCCTTCAGTCCAAGATGTTGTGTCGAACTTTTACCCTAAACCTAAGGTCTATTTAACCTCCACCCCTACCTTTTATACTATCATCCATCTGCCTATCTAATAGCTGCTTAAATGCCCCTAATGAGGCCGACTCCACTATCCTCTCCAGCAATGCGATCCACGCTCCTAACCACTCTGAGTAAAGAACCTACCTTTGATGTCTTCCCAATATCTAACTCCACTCACTTTAAAACTATGCCCCCTCGTAATAGCTACCTCCACCCTAGGAAAAAGTCTCTGGCTGTCCACTCTATTTATACCTCTGATCATTTTGTACACCTCTATCAAGTCACCTCTCATCCTTCGTTGTTCTAAAGAGAAAAGCCCTAGCTCTCTCAACCTTTCCTCGTAAGACCTTCCCTCCATTCCAGGCGACATCCTGGTAAATCTCCTCTGCACCTTTTCCAACGCCTCCACATCTTTCCTGTAATGAGGCGGCCAGAACTGGACACAATATTCCAGATATGGCCGAACCAGGCTTTTGTATAGCTGGAGCATAACTTCACGGCTCTTGAACTCAGTCCCTCTATTAATGAAAGTTAACACACCATACACCTTCTTAACAACTCTATCCACCTGGGTGGCAGCTTTCAGGGAACTGTGGACATGAACCCCAAGATCCTTCTGCTCCTCCATACTGCCAAGAATCTTTCCGTTAACCCTGTATTCTGAATCACCTCACACTTTTCAGGGTTAAACTCCATCTGCCACTTCTCAGCTCAGCTCTGCATCCTATCAATGTTCCTTTGTAAACTAGAACAGCCCTCCGCACTATCCACAACTCGACCCATCTTTGTATCGTCTGCGAACTTACTAATCCACCCTTCCACTCCTTCATCCAAATCACTTACAAAAGTCACAAAAAGAAGAGAACCCAGAACAGATCCTTGTGGTACACCACTCGTAACTGAGCACCATGTTGAATATTTTCTGTCCACTACCACCCTTTGTCTTCTAAGGGTCAGCCAATTCTGAATCCAATCTGCCACATTTCCCCCTATCCCATGCCTCCTTACTTTCTGCATGAGCCTACCATGGGGAACCTTATCAAACACCTTACTTAAATTCATGCATACCACGTCCACTGCACTACCTTCATCCACGTGTTTGGTCATCTCTTCAAAGAATTCAGTAAGGTTTGTGAGGCATGGTCTACCCCTCACAAATTCATCACGAATCAAACTGTGCCTATCCAAGTGATCATAAATCCTTTCCAATAATTTGCCCACCACTGAAGTAAGACTAACTGGCCTGTAATTTCCAAGGTTATCCCTGTTCCCTTTCTTGAACAAGGGAATGACTCTTGCCCCTCTCCAATCTTCCAGCACTGTACCCATGCACAGTGAGGACGAAAAGATCATTGCCAACGGCCCCGCGATCTCTTCCCTCTCTTCCCATAGAATCCTTGGACAAATCCCATCAGGCCTAGGGGACTTATCTATCTTCAAGTTCCTCAAAATTCCTAGCACATCTTCCTTACTAACATCCACCTCCTCTCGCCTGTTTCACACTGTCCTCCCCTACAACCAGGTCCCCCTCAGTTGTGAATATCGAAGAAAAGTATTCATTAAGGACCTCTCCTATCTCTTTAGGCTCTGTACACAAATTCCCTTTACCATCCTTGTCTGGCCCCACCCTTTCTCTGATCATTCTCTTATTCCTCACGTACGTGTAAAAGGCCTTGGAGTTTTCCTTGATCGTGTCTGCCAAGGTTTTCTCATGCCCCTTTCTAGCTCTCTTAAGCCCTTTCTTCAGCTCCTTCCTGGCTAACTTGTATCCCTCTAGAGCCTTTTCAGATCCTTGTTTCCTAAACCTTATCTAAGCATCCTTCTTCCTCTTAACCAGTCGTTCGACCTCTCTTGAGAACCAAGGCTCCCTCACTCGACCTCATCTTCCCTGCTGGCTAGGGACAAACATATCGAGCACACGCAGTATGCATTCCTTAAACAATCTCCACATTTCAATAGTGCTCTTCCCTGACAGCATCTGTTCCCATTTTATGTTACCCAGTTCTCGCCTAACAGAATTATAATTACCCTTCCCCCAATTATAAACCTTACCCTGCTGTATGTACCTATCCTTTTTCATGACTGTTGTAAAAGTAACAGAGTTATGATCAGTACCGCCAAAATGTTCTCCTACCAACAGGTCTAACACTTGGCCCTGTTCATTGCCAAGCACCAAATCCAAAGTGGCCTCTCCTCGTGTTGGTCTATCTACGTACTGTGTCAGGAATCCTTCCTGAGCGCACTGGACAAAATCCGCTCCATCTAAACTGTTACAACTAAACAGTTTCCAATCAATATTTGGAAAGTTGATGTCACCCATGATTACAACCCTGTGACTTCTGCACCTTTCCAGTATCTGTGCCTCAATCCGCTCCTCTGCAACTATTAGGGGATCTGTTTTTAAAAAAAACCCCAACAAAGTGACTGTTCCTTTCTTGTTTCTGACCTCAACCCAAACTGACTCTGTAGACATATCATTCTCGAACTGCCTTTCAGTAGCTGCCATACTAGCCCTGACTAGCAATGCCACTTCCCCCACAAGTCAGAAGTGTGATGGAATGCTCCCAATTTGTCTGGATGGGTACAGCTTGACCAACACTCAAGAAGCTTGACACCATCCAGGACAAAGCAGCCCACTTGATTCGCACCACATCCACAAACATCTACTTTAGGGTAGGCAATGGCCTAGTGGTATTATCGCTAGGCTTTTAATGCAGAAATCCGGCTGATG